TTTTATATTGGGGCTGCTCCGTAACACTTGGACCTGCCCGGTGTGAGTCGTGCAGCCCAGGGGGACATACAAAGAAATAGAGGACCAGGGTCCCTGCACTGCCGAGACTTGGATGCCAACTTGCAAAACTGCCAGATAGCTCCTGGGCAACACGTGGAGATGTGCCAACTGCGTTTGTTGCAATGGTGCCGTAAGAATAAATTCTACTTCTGCATCATTAAGATGGAAACGGAATGTGTTCTAAATGTGCGAGCGGTTTGGACTCATGTGCCTAAATGTTGAAATACCCTGAGTAAGGATATTTATAAAGAGGCCGTGTGGAATTATCCAGGGAGGGTTTTCTAGAGAAGCAGCAGGTAAAGCAAAAAGCATAGACTCTGGAGATAGACACCCCAGATTTTAAACTGGGGGCCTCCCTCTCTAGTTACTAGTGCTTTACTTTCCTCTTCTGTGACCTTGCAGAAACAATGATTCACAATGCGCTAGTGAAGGTGACAGGAGAGGGACTGTGTGTAAGGCACCAGGCTCAAGCCTGGCAATGCCAGGTGTTCAACACACAGTAGGTGCCTGTATTCTAGAAGAAAGCATGCCAGAGCACTTTTAAAGTAGTCGTAGGCCATGAAAACTAGCAGACAGAGAAACTATCAAATGTGGGCACAGCTGCAAGGAAGGGTAAGCAGGAGAGAATTGAGGTGATGGTTGGGCTGGGGAAGAAGACTGGGAGAGCCTGCTATTTCCATCTTCAGGATTCAGAATGGCAAGTGTAGCAGCAGGATGGCCACAGGGCAGGATCTCTATGACTTGGGCCGACAGGTGAAGGAGGAATCCTGGAGCCCTTGGTGGCTTTTGCAGGTTTTTATTGGGATTTTACCAGTTTCACAGCAGGCAGGGGTGCCTCCCAGCCCGCCAGCCTCCTAGCCCCCGGCAAGTCTTCACTCTTTCTGGGCTCTCCGGCGTTCTTTTGTGGCCTCTGCTTCTCCATTCTCCTTCTGGTCTGGTCTGGTCTTCTGTGTCCCGTGACGTTGTCCTTATAAGCCCAGTCTCTCAGCCCAGGTGAATCCATCTACATATGCCCACACCCCACTTCAGGTGCCCGCCATCAGGCATGCATTCAGGACCACATGGATCCATCATCTAACCTAATGGTGGGAGGGCAGAAAAGCCTGATACTTTACTTACCCTACAGCAAGCAAGGCAGCAGGAAGGGGATGGCTTGATGAAAATGAAGTTGGTGGTTGTAAGGGGAGGAACAGGCCACTGAGCAAGTTTTCTATGATCCCATGCAGACGGGGTAGAGGAGGAAAGAGTCCTGGAGCCCTCAGTGGCTTTTGTAGGCTTTTATTGGAATTTACCAGTACACAGCAGGCGGGAGTGCCAGGGGGCCGGGAGGCTGGCAGGTCGGCCTCCCAGCCCCTAGCAAGTCCTCAGTCTATCTGGGCTCTCCAGCGTTCTCTGGTGGCCTTGTTCTCATGGTTCTTCTGCTTCTGCTTCTCTGCTTCTGCTGGCATCCCCGTGATGCCACCTTATAAGCCCAGTCTTAGCCCAGGTGGATCCCATCTACCTATGCCCACACCCTACTCCAGGTGCCCACCATCAGGCATGCATTCGGGACCACAGGGTTCCGTCATCTATCCTGATGGCGGGAGGGCAGAAAAGCCTGATACTTTTATCTTACCCTACAGTGGTGGTCCCAGTCAGGTAGAGAGACAGGTAGAAGGCCTTTGCATTTTGAGAGTAACACGGGCAGGAACAGGCTCTGGCCAACACTGTGTCTGAAATGGAAATGGGATGGTGATTCAGTGCATGGGTCTCCTTTACAGATGAGAAAACTGAGGGTGCGGTGGGGCAGCCTCAGTTCTTAGTTATTAGTTATTGTGACTCCTGAAGGTGAGTGTCCGCCTGTCTAAATCCCCAGCCCAGCGTTGTCTCCAGAGCTGGCCCACAGCTGGCCTCCCAGGTAGGCAGTGAGAAGGATTTCTGTTGTCCCCAGCCACCTTGGTCAGCATTCCTTCCAGATGGCAGCCCACCTTCCTCTCCAGGTGATGACCTTCTGGGTAAACCCTCTTAGGAAGCTAACTGGTAGTTACAGTTCTCCCACATTTTGATTTAAAGTGTGTCTACCCCCTCCTAAGTGACATTTATATTTCGATGGCAAGTGCTTAAGGACCTAAGGGCCTACAAGATTTCAGGGCCTGCAAGATTTTCTTAAGAAGGTAAAATCACAGGTTGGCTATTTTGAGGGGACCCTTACTGGCAAACCCTGAATGGACCTGAACTTATTTTCTTCCCTCCCATATCTAAATTCCTTTCATCTATTAACCTCTGACTCTTGGCAGCTTTGACATTCAACCATTCAGCCAACACTCACTAACAACACCTACTAAGCACCAAACTCTGCTCGCAGGGTCCCTTTTCCATTCAACTGCAAGATTGAGGCTACAAGGATGAGGCCAGAAGAACTGGGTGTGATAGAAGCACACGACCCAGCCTGGGAAGGGGAAAGCGGCCTGCAAGATGGTCTGAATCTTGAGAGACAAGAGTTAGCCAGACAAATGTGGGTAGTAGAAAGGGGCAGGGTATTCGTGAGGCTTCGGTTCTGGTCGATGTTAATGGACACAATTGAGGGCCGGGAGAGCATTTTCTAGTCTAATCCTCTCAGGGGAAACTGAGGCTCCCGATGTGCTCAAGTTCTATCAGGAACATAATGGGATATTCCCTCCTAGAGACCACGGCCATGGTGACTGCCTGGCATTAATGTCCTCCATGCAGACTTACTCCCAGTACAGGGGGCACAGGGTGGAAAGTCCCAGGTAGTCACAAACTAGGGGGCCTATGCAAGTATGTACTTTTCTTTTTTTTTTTTTTTTTTTAAATAGAGGCATGTTTTTATTTATTTATTTATTTATTTGTTTGTTTGTTTGTTTATACAAGCACTGGGTACAGTCAGAAGCGCAGGAGGGTGAGAGAATTCACCAGAGCCAGAAGCAGAGCAGGCAGAAGGACTGAAGTACACTGCTGAGGGGAGCAGCGGGCGGCAGAAGAGGTCTGCGCGCCATGCGGGACCCTCCTCCGGTGGCCGGGGAGCAGCCGGGAATCGAACCGGCGCTGCAGAGGCTGCGGGCAGCTTCGCAACCCAGCGCTCAACCGCTGCGCCACCGGGGAAGCCCCAAGTATGTACTTTTCTTAAAAAGGTATTAAACACTTTTTAAAAATTAGTTACTATGATTAGAATTTTTTTTGAAGATTTACTTATTTATGCACACAAGAACTGGGGTACAGGCCAGAGGTCCAGGGGTAAGAGGATTCACCAGAGACAGAGTGGAGAGCAGAACAGGTAGATGGACCAAAAACACTGCTGAGGGGAGCAGCAGGCGAGATAGGAGAGGTCTGCTGGGCCATGTGGGTCACCTCCTTGACCCGGGATCGAACTCGTGCTGAAGTGGCTGCAGATCGCTTCATAGTGCTGAGACTTAACCCCTTGAGCCACCAGGGAGGTCCCTGATTAGAATTTAGGGAGAGGTCAAATAAAAATTTACATTTCAGATTTCTCTTTTAAAATGACAATGTCTGATCTCACTGGTCTCTCTGGGTGACAGTGGACTAGAGCTAAGGAGCAGGGTTCTTTTCAAACAAGGCTTGTGCTCAGGCTTCAAATTCACTGCTGCTTCTGTCCAGTTATCCTCATTCACTGGCTGCCTGGCCCTACCCTTGCTCCCCTGGTGCCCACCCTGCTTTAAATGGCCCTTCTCTGCTGGGTTGGTAAATAAAGCAGCCCTTTCTCCAAACTGCCCGGCCATAACCCTCTTATCTGATGTGCTCTGGCAGCCTGTCAGGCCTACTGGACAAGGGTTGAGTTAAGGCCCTCCCTTGTTTATGGGGATGGGGGTGGGAGTGCAGAGCCAGGTTTCAGCTGGTAACAAAATGACAGGGTGGGGCCCAGAGAACCAGGCTCCTATCAAAGGGGGGGGAGGGTGACCGCACACCTGGGGTGCCTTTGTTTGCATAAGATCATTATCCACAGCCCTAGTAGCCTCTTAGAGTCAAGCTCAAATGTTTTTCTTTCCAGTTGTGTAAGGAAGTGGCATGGAGAGAAAATCAAACTTTCCAGAACTCATCAGCCTTGCCCTTCTCAGCTCTCCATCTCCCTCTTCTCTGGGAAAGAAAAGCATGTGAGGATGGCTCCTCAGGTGGGCAGAATGGAGGTAAGTAAAGTTGTTATTGGAAAGTCTCATCCCCACCCACTTTGGGTGTGAATGAGCACGCAGTCCAGTTTGGTATTAATCCACAAGCACAACAGTGGAGCAAACGAAGCCAAGCTCCCTGTGGCCAGCGAGATCAGATTATCTGGCAAGGACACTGTCAAGAATGAATGAGGTCGGACATGAGCTCATGCAGTTGACAATCCCCTACATGGCAGGGACTTGTAGAACACCCACTATTTGCTCCAAGAGACCCTAGTAAGGGCTTTTGGAGTGTGAAGATTAACAAAGGGTTGAAAATCATCTTTCTCTGGGAGAGGCCGGGGGCATCTTGGACAGTGTTAACTGCGGTCATCGGAGTCCTAGTGGGACCTATTGCGCTAATTGTGGTTTCCTTCCAGTCATTGGTATGCCAGCAGGTCCTTATTCATCTTAGGATCACCTCAGAGCCCTTGAAGAGATGAGGTCAAACTCTATGCCAGACTGCAATTTTCATTTATTGAAAATTTTTACTTCTTGGGATAAGGTTCTTGGAAACTGTGACATAAAGAAAAACAGCCTATCATGAAAGCAGGTCCTTGAAATAAAGTAATTTCATTGAACAAAATGGGGTCCTTTTGTTAGGGGGAAGTGATGTCCTGAGTTAATCCCATACAGGATTAACTTTGTGGACCCCACCCCCACTCCAGACTAAAGCCATCAAGACTCTGGGAAAGACAAATCCCATCACCACCAAGGGAGGGTGGCTGGGACCTGAGGGTGGAGTTGGGCAGCCAGGTTGGATATAAAAACCAAACACGTGGGCCTTGGGCTCTCTCTCTGGCTCGCGATCGCTCGCCTCCTGGCTTCACGGCTCCTGGCTGGCGGCCAGCGCTCAGAGCGCCATTTTGGGATTCCTAATAGGCGGATCGGGTAGGACTCATTTAAAACTTTGTCTCCCACTTTTTCTCCCAGAGCTGTACATTTCCTCATTTCCCCTTCCCTTTGTAAATAAACCTTTTATTAACCTTTCACGTGTGCCTGCAGTAGAGCATTGATAAGTCCTTTTAAGCGCGCGGGTGAGGACCCACAGTCAGGCACCCCGTTTTGTATCGGGGTTGCTCTACAACACTTTCTCACCAACATTATAAGGTCTCAACAAATGAAATTCATTTACGGCCCAGCTGTACTTAAATGGGCAAGACTCTGTTCCAAGTGCCTCATGGATCTCATTTAATTCTTACAACAATGTTTTGTGATGAGTTCTATTCTTAATCCCATTTCACAAATGGGGGGATGGAAGCCTGATGGCTTAAGTAACTTGTCCCAGGTTGCAGGGCCAGCAGGCAGGTGGGCAAGCCGGCTGGACCTTAGGAAACCTGACACTAGAGCCCACATTCCCAGCCTCTATGCAGCATGCGCTGCTCTTTATTTGCAAATTGAAACCTTATCAGGCTGGAGTCTCAGCTAAGCAAGGGAAGATTACCCAACTTCCCAGCCCAAATGACCCTTCAGTTCAACTAATTGAAAATAATGATAATAATTGTGCTAATTTGGCCTCCAGTGATTGCTAGGATAATGGAGATGATTTAGAACAGAGGTCATTTCATCCAACCCCCTAATTTCTGAGATAGGAAAATTGAGGGGCTTATCCAGACTCAACACAGCCAGTTTGGAAGAAGAACCCAGACCACAACCCACAGATCTTCCCTCCCACCCCAGAACTTTCTCCTGCACAGGATTGTTGGGCTGGGGGTATTGGTCCTGGCCTGGAAGGCAAGAGTCCTCACTATCTTTTCTGGCCAAAGACTGCTATGGAAGCAGATGTCACACTCTGAAGTGGGTTCTTCCTTCTGGGACTTATTGCAGCATCAAGGACGCCCCCACCCAAACCTCCTTATCAGGAAGCAGGACGGGCTGTTAATCAGCAGCTCCCAGGGTCTTGCCCACGCTCCGGGAGGTGCATTATCACCCAGAAACAGCTGAATGAGCACCGTCTCCCAGGTCGGCCTGTTTACCAGGCTGGGAAGCTGGGGAACAGCCCGGGGGACTGCTCCAACCCTCAGCAGTTCCTGCCACAGTCCATACTGGCCCCAGGGCCCTCTCCCCTCCTACTGAAATTGGTCAGATGGAACTGAAATTGGTCAGATCCAAAGTAGAAAATGCACGGCTTGATCACAGAATCCTCTCTCATTAAGTTGTGGTACAATTAGTCTATTAAGAGCCAAGAGCAACCTAGAGCTGAATCTTGTCATTCTCCGGTTTCTTGGGCTGGAGACACAGGCAGGTGACAATGTCCCCTTGGCCTCCAGGCAACCTTCCCTGAATTTCAGAGTTTTTACTAGACTGTCGTGAATGGGGCCTATCAGGAAAGTAGATGCTGACTGTATAATGACTAAGGGAACAGCACACCAGGGTGGGCAAGGTCTTCAACTCAAGCCCTGTCCTCCCTCCAAAAAAGTGAATCCTTTTAACTAAGGACATTGCGGTTAGAAGCTTCCGATGGAAATCTGACACAAATGGGCGCCCTTAACCAACTCCATTTGCGATGCAGATGAGCTGGTTTCTCCCCTCCCTGCCTCCTCTGCCCTCCAGTGCCCCACACAGGGCCCCCTGGCCTGCCTCCCACCTCTCACTCCTAGGCCAGCATGTACTGATGAGGGCCACAGGGGTATGAAATAAAGTGTGTATGGGGTTGGGGGTGAGGGAGGGGGGCACTGTTCAGTCAATATGTTTAAAACTTGAATACAACACGCCTTTTTGTGGCCAAAAAGAATGAGCCCAGGTCAAAGATGTGCTAATACTTTAGTGGGAATTGCACAGGATGGGCGTGGGGGAAGCTGTGTCAAACTGCACAGGAAGAAGCCCCCAGAGTTGGTAGTGTCCTTATTTCCAAAAATAACTCCTACCCATATAACCAAGGGGAATTAGAAGTTGCTGACAGACCTCGGTGCTTACTGGGAAGGGCAGCTATGCTCACTGGGGGTGATGGCCACCCCGGCTAGGGGCACAGGCCCTGAGGCTCAGCTGCTAGTGGTGAGCAGCAAATGCAGCCCCAGAGGTGAGCATCTACACCAGGCATTTCTAACATCCCTGCCCCAGCCTGGGAGGGGGTCGGCGTCCCCTGACTGTGACAAGGGTCTTCACCACTTGCACTGTCTTCCTGTGCCTGCACCGCTGACAACTCACGCCTGGTAAGAACAGGATGTGCAGCAGGGGGACGGGCAGGGGGTGCCCCCGAGGAGGGGGCTGCTCGGCTGTCATCCACCACACACTAGATTTCCCTGTTGTCCCAACCAGGGCCACACTCTCCTGAGCAGCTGAAGTTCTGTGACACCACAGAGTGGGATTCAGGGAAAGACAAACCAGTGATGTGGGGATCTTCCCTTCTCTACACCACACTTCTCTGCTACATTTTTATTAAAGTAACAAAAAAAGGTGTACATTTGTCCATAAAGCTGTACATTCTTCCATATAAAAACACTATGATACAATTAGTAACCTTTGTCTTTTCTGTCAGAATAGCTTACAAATGTACTATGATTATTCACTTTTACTTAATTGGAGAGACAGGCCTGCTCAACAGTCCAGCTCCGGGGGCTTTGTTGTTTTTAAAGTGAACATCAAAAAGGAGAAAAGGAAGCGTGAGACCAGGAGCTGCTTCTAAAAAGGCAGGAGCCTGTCTGCAAACAGGACGCAAGCACACGATCTGCAGTGATTCACAGCTTGGTTTCGGCCCACAGGCCGGACAGGCACTCCGGGGTCTGCGGGCCTGAGTTAGCTTTAAAGCGATAAAGACTGGAAGCAGGATCTGGGAAGGCAGCTCGGAATCTGGAGAGTCGAGAAGGAGGCAGAACTGGCAGGAACGGGTAGGGAGAGTGTTTGGTAAATAGCACCTTTGAGTCAGATTTGAGTAGTTAAGAAATAAATCCAGGACAGGGGACTGGCGGGGGAGGAGGATCCCTCAGCAGGGGCAAGCAGGAGAGTAGCCAGCTGGCCAGATGCTCTAGCTAAGTCCTTAAGGTGATTCGAGTTTGGGAAACTCAAGGCCTTCTTAGGACCCCTCACATATGTCACCGAGAAGCTGAAAAAAGGGGGTGTCTTCCCAGTGCAGTTTTCCATTTTTCTCCAAACCAGAACAGTAAATATTGCACAAGTCTATAGACAAATCTGGATTGTACTGAGAGAGACAGCAACATCTCCCCAGGTGCTCTGAGCACCAAGGAGAGAAATCGATGCCCACAGTTTGGCTTCTAGTGTCAGCCCCACAAGAATACCAGGTAGTCCTGCAGAACCTGGGGCATTCTCCCCCTCAACCAAGGATCACCTGCAAGGCTGACCAGCCAGCCATGGTCCCAGGGCAGGGGGAGAGATGGTTCCCTAGGCCACCAGGGTCCCGGCAGGTTCTCAGAGCCAGTTCTCCTCCGGACCCTCCTGGGATCCCAGAGGCCATATTGCACAGTGACTCTTGTCCTAGAAAATCGGGTAGCTCTGTGACCCAGCCAGACGGGAGAGAAGGCGCTTGGAGTATTGTGCTTTTGGAAAGAGGAAGCCATAAGGACCTGGAGTTCCCTGGAGCTTTGAGCCACCTCTCAAAGGGACTGTGGCAGCAGCATCAGAGCCTGTACATTGTTCCAGAAAGAAGGGTTTGGGCCAAAAAACGTCCCCAGTGGACACTCTTTGGGTTCCAAAATCCATTGCAAATCACCCTCAAGTTATTCACCACACACACTCACAGCAGCGCATAGCAAAGCAAAGGCCTTATGCAGAGAACCCTTCCCAACCTACCCTGATAGCCTCCAACCCCTGCCTGGCTCCCCAACCCCCACCAGCAAGGTTTTAGATTCCTGGCTGGGAAGCCACATCTACAGGCCCCTGAGAACAGAATTAGAAACAAATCATGATTTCCAGAGAAGCTGCTTAAGGACAGAAAGAATAAGGAGGGGGTTCTGCCCAGGATCTCATCAGAAAAAGAGAAGATTAGGCAACATAGTACGGTTTTAAATCCAGGCTTGAATGCCCCTGAGTAAGAGAGGGGTCAGGGACTGGCTCCTGGCTGGGAGGGGGAGGGTGGAGCTCAGTCTCCCCTCTCCAGCCAGGACAGATCCCCACCGCTCTCATTCACAGTTGCTAACCTTGCTTGCTCCCCGTCACATTCTCCCACCTGACACCTTGGCCAGGCCCACCCCACAGCCCTCCCGCTCCCACAGGCAGACGCTGACTCCCACACTCAATGGCACAACAGTTCTCTCCAAGGCACCTGGGGAGGCCGCTTCCAAGTGGCCCCCTTTAAGGATTTTTTTTTTTCTTAGAAAAATCTTTTGGTTTTTTTTCTCCCCTTTTCTTAAAAAAAAATAATATATATATATATAAATAGCTCTTCATTTAAAATCCAGTTCCCCAGGTTGAGGTATGCAATGGGCTGTTGTCACACAGAGCGAGCACAGCAGGTGCCGGCCACGGCTCTAAGCTGAAGACGGCCATCATGTAGTTGGCTCTAGCTGGAGACCGCCATCACGTAGTTCTTCGAGGGGCTGCTCCGGCCCAGCATCATTTGATTCTTGCAGGTGAGGAGCCCGTAGGAGGTGGCTACCGGGGCCTCCTCATACAGGACGCAGATGGAGCCGTCCTCCCCGATGCGGTAGGAGACCTCGTAGGGGTCCACCCACAGGGTCAGCTCGCTGGGCAGCAGCTGGCGCAGCTGGGGCTGGCTGAGTCCAATCTGGCTGGCCACCTTGCTGATGATGGGGTCCATCTTGTGGTTGATGCGGATGCAGCGGTAGCCTGAGCCCTTGGATGGCTTTTCAGGAAACCAGTGGTGTTTGTAGTGTTCTGTGGAGACAGGACGAGGGGGGATGCCTTGATTAGAGCAGGGGCCCATGAATGCCCCCCACAACGCCATAGATGAGGAGGAAGGGACCCATTGATTTTAAGCAAAGACAGTTTCTCCCAAGTTCCAGGGCCCTTCTCAAACGCTCCTAACTCAGTAGCAGAGAAAATTTTATGGGCTCTGGAAAGACACCCCTGCACACTCACACATACCCCTTCTAAAAAAGAGGTATGTGTGTATTAGCAGGGATCCCCAGAGGTCTGGGCACTCCTAGCGTCGCACACACTGGTGGTCATATCCCCAGTTTGGGAAGGAGGGGTGTGAGCGAGGCTGGCATGCCCGGGCAAGGCCTCCGCAAACCTATGTACAGAGGTTTCAAGGCCACGAAGGTTGCACATTGTCAGGTCCACACCACGTCACTGCATTGCCCACCCTGTGCCTCATCAGCTCTGTTTTGCTGAAACGTCCTCAAGGCAAGGACCTGTGTGGGCTGGCTCCGCGATGACCATCGCTGCCCAAGACCGCTGGCTCAGGGCTAGAAACAGCTGGGAGATAGGTCTGTCCCCTGCCAGCGACTGCTTATCGCTTGTCGTCCGGGTCTCACACCACCCCCTCCCGCCCTCCACCCCAACAAACCACAGCCACTACTAGCTATAAGGCTCTCGTGGCACCATAATAGGTGGCAGAAAGCTGAGGGGCCAGAGAACACAAAAGGGCCCGGACCCCAACTTTGAGCTAGGCACCCAAGCCCGGCGAGGCGCAGGCGAGCACCGCCAGCTGGAAGCACCGCGGCTGAACCCCAAATTGAGACGGCTCAGCTGCGCCGCCGTCTCCCCCGACCCCTCGCCCAGACGAGTTTCGTCTCGGGGTCTAGCGAGGGAGCTGAGCCTGCACTTCAGACCCTCCTTCTAGACCGGGGCTCGGGATCGCACTCCGGGATAAGGGTCTGCGCCCCTACAGCGCCCAACCACCCCCCGAAGCTGCGCGCGGGGCCGGGGAGGCGCGACCCCGAGAGGGGGCTACGGCTGGCAGTGCCGAGGCGGCTCGCGGGGGCCTCTGCCCAGGAAGAGACGCCACAGTAAGGAGAGGGGCCGGCCCAGGCGGCGGGGCTCGACGGGCGCCGGGATCCACAGCGCGCGCTCACCTGTTAGCGCCTCCTGGAGCGCCCCGCTGAAAACCTTCAGCCTCTGCTCGCTCACGCAGCCCCGGGTCCTCAGGAGGCTGGAGAGGAAGCCCACCGCGGCGGCGATCTCCGGGAGCATGTCCGTCCTCTCTCCCGACCAGCGGGCTTGGCTCATGTCGCGGCGGCGAAGGGGAGCAGCTGGCGGTCTTCGGTGGGACGAGGGGCTGGGGCTGCCTCCACCCGCTGCTCCGCGGCTCAGGCTCTGCGAGGACTTTGCCCCGACGCGCCTTTTATAGTGTTGTGAGAGGCGGGCGAGTCGGCGGCCGTGCTCATTGGCTGCCGCCGGCGGATGGGGGCGGGAGTTGGCGCCCGCCCCACCCACCCGCGCCCGCCGCCGGCCGGCCCCCGCGCGCGCCCGCCCGCGCCCCGGCCTCCGCCGCGCTGAGGTCATCGCCCGCTGACGTCAGTGCTGGGAACCCGAGCCGGCTCCAGGGTCGAGGGGAGCGGGAGAAGGAAAGGGAGCCGGGGTAGGCTCTAAATTGGAAATGCCCGGACCTCTCCACTCCGCCCATACTGCCAGGGTAAAGGCCACCTCCTCCAAGAAGTCTTCGCTAATACCCCCCTTTAATAACTCCGCAGTTTCCAAAACCAACTTCTCCAGACACTTCTCACCTTTCTATCGTTTTGCTGTGTGTCTTAACTCGTTGGAATGGTTCCTTCTTGGCGCTTCAGAAATGGGATTAAGTCTTTTATTTGCTGCCACAGTAATCTCTCCGCCCCCAGCGAGTTCAGCGCTTCTACAGCAATGCCTCTGCTCTTGCCTGAAAACATGCAAGTCTCACCTATTTGGTGGTGATGGCGGAGGGGTGTTGCAAGACTTTTCTGTCCCCAAGTAATTATTCTAGTTCTTGGTTTCCTTTTAAATACGTACATACATATATATTTATATATATATGAATATTTACATATACACACTACACACATATACACATGCATACATACATATATAATATTTTTAAATTAAGACCATGGTCGAATGTGCCTGGTCCCCATCTTGTTCCCCCTCCCTTGTATAAATGCCAAAAATGTGGAATAAGTAGTCTGCTCTCAACTGTATACGTTTTCCATCCTCTCTGTCCCTTGCTCCTCTCCTCTTCCACCAGCCCTCCTTCCTCCTTTGGGCTGAAGCATGAGTAAACACCACTCCTAGAGCAGAAAGATTCGTCCTCAGTCTCTCTCTTACTCAGCAGCATGGTGCTGGGCCTGGCCCAGGCACCCCCAAGTTTCTGGGGATTGGAGACCTTCTGACCAACACCCCTGGGGCTGGAGGTCACACCCACATGTGCAGTGAACCAAACCCAACGGTCTCTGTAAAGTCTTGTCTTCCTAGATCGAGGGCCCCACGGACCACTTTCTGGAGTAGTCATCCCTTCTTTTCCTTGCTCTGGTACCCCAGGCTTCTCTGCCTCCTTCCTGTGTGCCCCCTGGATTCTTCCCGCCCCCAGCCCCTCCCTCTTCTTGTTTCTCTTCACTTTTCCCTCAGAGACCCTCCTCGTGTTGTCCAGTGTGAGGATTACTGTTTTTACACTCAGCACTCACATCTGCAGAGTCTGTCTTCATGTCTTCACCCTGCTTCTGCCTCCTGCCAGTCCCACCTGTTGAATGTCCATTCATCCCCTCAGTGTCTTCAAAGCCAGCTTCCTTCCTGATGTCCATTTCTATCAGAAGTATTCCCTGGCCACTCACCCTAGAGAACTCGGATTCTTTTTTTTTTTTAAGATTTATTTTTGCATACAAGAACTGGAGTGTAGGCCAGAGGTGCAGGAGGTGAGAAGATTCACCAGAGACAGACTGGGGAGCAGAACAGGCAGATGGACTGAAAACACTGCGGGAGCAGCGGGCAAGTCAGGAAAGGTCTGCTGTGCCATGTGGGCAGCTCCCTGGCCGGCCAGGAATCGAACTCGTGCTGCTGTGGCTGCAGATAGCTTCATAATGCTGCAACATAACCACTTGCACCCCCAGGGAGGGGGTCAACTTATCTTTGATAAAGGAGCAAAGAATATGCACTAGAGCAAAGAAAGTTTGTTCAATAAATGGTGCTGGGAAAACTGGGTCGCCACATGCAAAAGAATGAAGCTTGACTACTACCTCACGCCATGCACAAAAACCAACTCAAAACAAAACTGGGCTAGAAACAAGGTAATCAGGAGGGCATCAAAGCAAAGAGACCAACTGTCAGCAGGACCATAACTGACCAAGGTCAATCGCCAAGGAACAGGGAAATGCATCAAGGTGTAGCAAGGTTGCATAGCAACTAATCTGAAAATACTTCCCATCTCCCTGGGTGTCATTGGTTCCAGTGTTCTGGGCCTGCTTTAGTCCAGAACTGATGAAAATTCTTTTGACCAGCCATCACCTGTTGTCTGTCTTAGGAAACAGAGCTCCGTCCTCATGTATGTTTTTGCATGGCTCATCAGGTCACGTGACTAGTTCTCAACCAAGTCAGGCCTGGGACCAGCTGTGTAGACTCCACATGTGATGTGGTCTTGTCACAATGACCCATGTCCCACATGGCCCCACAGAGCTGTTGTTCCAGAGGATGATGAAGCTGCAAATTGGAAGGAAACAGTCTGCATTTTTGGAATAAGAGTAAGGAAGCCCCCCAGCACACCCATTATCCAGGTTGGGGTTATCATGGTTGGTGATTAGTTCACAAAATTTGTATCAGGCCAGAGATAAGAACCAGCAGGCACCCCCCCCCCGATTTCCTCTCTGCTTTTCTTTTGACTTACAAGTCTTAATTTCTCCTTCAATCAAAGTTTCCAAGTCATGTTACTATATCATTGTACCCAACTTAGGATTTGATCTCTCAGCCAATTTCTTTTTTTTTTAAAGTTTATTTATTTAATGCATAGAAGAACTGGGGTGTAGTCCAGAGGGGCAGGGGAGGAGGTAAGGATTCACCAGAGACAGAGTGGGGAGCAAATTAGGTTAATTTACTGAAATACACTGCTGAGGTGAGCATCTGGCGAGACAGGAGAGGTCTGCTGCGCCATTTGGGTCACCTCCCTGGCCGGGGATCGAACTCAGGCCATAGCAATGATAGGACAGAGACTTAACCCTTAGACCACCAGGGAGGCCCTCAACCAATTTCTTATAAGGCTAAATACAAGGTCCTGAAACTGCCCTTAAGTTGGTAGGACCAGGATCCTTAGAAAATCAAAGGTTTCACTTCCTCCCCTCCATGTGTGGCCTGCTGCCTCCCTTCCTTGATGGAGCTCGAGCATCAGGATAAGGACAGAGGATCCTTCTCTCCCTCCCTCTCCTCCTCTTTTTCCTGCTTTTTCTCACTTTCCCCCTCCTCCACTTCCTGTGCATCACTTCCTCCTCTCCAGACAAGGTCCCTAAGTTGAATTTTGAACATTAAACACACTGACACCCTGAGTTGACCTGGGACTCTACCCACTGCCAGGTAGTGCCAGGTAGACTAGAGTGCCTCATCTGGACCAGAAACTTCTGTGCCATGCAACCCACTGGCTGCCCTGGGCCTGGAGGTCCATCTCACCCACCTGCACACCCCACCTACGTGGCCCACTCCAGACCCACCCACAGCATCAAAAATGACCCTTCCTCCGATTAAATCTCCACCTAGAATGAGCCCCTCTCCTCCGACCTCAACTCTGTCCTTGTCTGCGAAGTCATCCACACCCCCTGCTCCCACTGCCCAGTCAGGATCAACCAGAGGGTTTGTAAGTGTCTTTTGTCTTTCCCAGCTCCCTTGGGCCTGCAGGGCTTTGGCTGGGTTGCCAAGGTTACTTCCCAGCTTCCTGACCACAGAGAAACCTGAGGTCTAGTAAAGCCAAGCTGAGGCAGAGGGAGCGCTGAAATATTCTGGGAGGATGACATCAGCTCACTCCTACGCCGTGCAGTGTAGTGCTTGTGGGTCTGTGGCTGCGTGTGAGTGTGCTTGTGTTGGTGTCAGAGGAGGGCTGTGGACACACTTCAGTAAGTGTATGCACCTGAACATGTCTACGGACTGTGATGTGGTGGAGAGGAGGGAACGTGGCTGCGTTTGCAGATGTTAACACACACTTAGAATGGTGCATAGTGAGCGCGTCCTGCTGCGGAGTGTGGGCGTTGTAGTGGGGTGTGTTTTGGTGGGAGGGGAGGCACGGTTTGCCAGGTATGTCTGAGCGTGGCGGCTGGTGATGCTACTTGGTGCTTTCCGCTGTCCAGACCTGTGCTGCTGCCCTGGGCTGATAAGAAACTTTGCCCGGGCAGGGCCAGTCTCTTCCTCGCTTCCTCATGGGGTGGAAATGCGGCCGGAGATACTCTCAGCTCTGCAGGCATCGCTGGGTGCTGTCCAGAACATCTCTCAGGCGTCCCTATCAGCTCCTCACAAAGGGGTACCACTCAGTATCAGCTCGTGGCCAGTCAGTCTGGTGGTTACTCTTCAGAATCAGGAAGGAGAATCCAAGACAGAAGAAAATGACATTGTCCCTGACAGCTGCTAGTGAAGACTGTGAAAATGGAAGAATTTTAGCTTTTTAAAAACTTTCTGTCTTTAAGTCCCTTCTTCCCCTTCCCCCAGCTGAGGTAAGGACAGGCTCAGAAATAGATAATGCAAAGATGGTTGGCCTGAGGGTAAGTGGGACCAACCTGCCTGACAAAGCAGCTGGTGAAATGTAAATATGCAAAGGACTCTCTCATCTTGAAGTCATCACAATCTTCAAGTTCCTTAAAAATTTCTGAGAACCTGGTGAGGGCTGGGGCTGGAGAAAAGTCAAAAAGTGCCTAAATTAGATAAAAGAGTTATCTAATTTCTGAGCTGAAAGGGAGCATGAGTTGTGCCAAGAGCTGCCTGCTCCAGCCGCACTCAGATTGGGCCTGGGGCAGCTTCCCTGGGGAGGGGCAGTGGCCACAGAGCAGATGGGTGAAGGCTGCAGGCTCCTCCTGAGCTGGCATCTAACTTCAGTGGCTCCCCACACAAGTTCCAGGTGGTGATCAGAACAGTGGGGCAGACGCAGGCTCCACAAGCTACTACTGACATAGGAGCCCACTGGACCCCAACAGCTAAAAATTCTGACCCCTAGGCTCACACACAGGCCAGCTTGCATCTGCCTCAGAGGTGTCATAGGTCTCCATGTGACATTCCTGGGCTTCGCAGTTTGCTCAGCCGCTCTCCTGCATCCCACCTGTGTGGTAAGTGTATGCACCTGAAGGCACAGCCTCAGAAGGCACAGTTTGG